CCGCTGCCGCCTCGGGGGCTGCTCGGCACCCCCACCCGGCCGCCTCCGGGGACCCTCCCACGTCTGCCAAGCCTCTGCTTCGCTGGGACGAGGTGCCCGATGACTTCGTGGAGTGCTTCATCCTGTCCGGCTACCGGCGTCTGCCGTGCACCGCGCAGGAGTGCCTAGCCTCGGTGCTGAAGCCTACCAACGAGACGCTCAACTTCTGGACGCACTTCATCCCGCTGCTGCTGTTCCTGAGCAAGTTCTGCCGCCTCTTCTTCCTGAGCGGTCGCGACGTGCCCTTCCACCACCCGTGGCTGCTGCCGCTGTGGTGCTATGCGTCCGGAGTGCTCCTGACCTTCGCCATGAGCTGCACCGCGCACGTGTTCAGCTGCCTGTCGCTGCGCCTGCGCGCCGCCTTCTTCTACCTGGACTACGCGTCCATCAGTTACTATGGTTTCGGCAGCACCGTGGCCTACTACTACTACCTGCTGCCCGGCCTGAGCTTGCTGGACGCCAGAGTCATGACCCCATACGTCCAGCAGCGCCTGGGCTGGCACGTGGACTGCACGCGCCTCATCGCAGCGTACCGTGCGCTGGTGCTGCCGGTGGCCTTCGTGCTGGCCGTGGCCTGCACGGTGGCCTGCTGCAAGAGTCGCACTGACTGGTGCGCCTACCCGTTCGCGCTGCGCACCTTTGTCTTTGTCATGCCGCTCAGCATGGCCTGCCCCATAATGCTGGAGAGCTGGCTCTTCGACCTGCGCGGCGAGAACCCCACGCTCTTCGTGCACTTCTACCGCCGCTACTTCTGGCTGGTGGTGGCGGCCTTCTTCAACGTCAGCAAGATTCCCGAGCGCATCCAGCCGGGCCTCTTCGACATCATCGGCCACAGCCACCAGCTCTTCCACATCTTCACCTTTCTCAGCATCTACGATCAGGTGTACTACGTGGAGGAGGGCCTGCGCCAGTTCCTGCAGGCCCCGCCTGCTGCGCCCACCTTCTCCGGCACCGTGGGCTACATGCTGCTGCTGGTGGTGTGCTTGGGGCTGGTCATCCGGAAGTTCCTCAACAGCTCTGAGTTCTGCAGTAAAAAGTGAGCCTCCGCCTTGGAGGAGGCTGCTGGTTCGCCCACCTGTTTGTTTGGAGTTTCCGTTGTCGCTATTGTTGGTTTGTTTTCAAGTTTTGTTGTATTTCCTTCTTTGCTCGAAGAGGGTGCTGCAAACCACCAGGGAGAAAACCACTGCTCCAAGGGGATCCCAGCCCACTTGGGCTTTGGAACAGAGAGAGGGGGGTGAGGCAGGAGGGAGACAGAAGGCCACTGATTCTTGCCCCTGGAAGAAATTCAAATTGATGTCTGTGACATCCAGGGATTTTTTTCAGAGACAGCAAGTGAAATCCCAAATAAAGCCCCAGACAGTCCGTTTTTCCGATCTTGTCTTCTGTGCCAGAGGTAATAACGTTAGTTCTTGCAAGGTGAGGTATGCAGTAAAAAGGGGACCTAGACGAATCCTTGGGTGCCTCCATTTCAGTCGGAGGAATGCTTGGATCTGTCCTAAGAAAGGAGCTTTGTAGGACATGGGCACAGAGACACAAACCCAGGGTTTAATTTGCTAGAACATGCATGGAATGTGAACACGAGTTAATTATTTAAAAATGTTCCTCATATGTTATTTAAATAGTAATATATATATATGATGATTTTTCATAATTTATCCAAGTCTGCGATATGCACTGAATTTTCTGTCACGTAGTTTTGAAATTTGCAGCCTTCTGCATTGCTTACACTTGAACTGGACATCAGGGCAAGCTGCTTGAGAGTTCTCAACTACTTTTTTAAACAGTGTTTCCTGAAGGCCTGTGTGTGTCATGGTACAACTGTGAATTATTCTACCTTAGGGACTCTGGTTTAACTATTGGTGAGGAGCTTGGAGTGGTTTGTATAGACTTGCAATTCTTATTTACTTTCATGTATTCCACAAAACCCATCCTGTTTTTAATCTTACTCTTTCCTTCTCTACTGATTTAAATTACCGCTGGAATAAATGTGCCTTTTGAAGCAATGCCCAAATGACTGGTCCTCAAACGCTGTTTCTTGTATGGCTCCCAAGCAGGAGGAGTGAGCTTTTCTTACCTTACTTCAAAGCAAGGTGTCACGTTCCACCCAGGAGGGAAGGAAGTTGGTGTTGGTTTTGAGTTTTTGGAAAGGCCGGGAGCAGTTTATAGGGACACGCAAAGCGCTTGGCTTCTGCCGGAGAGCAGGAGCCAGTTCACTAATGTGGCTGTGGTTCCTCATGCAGCCACACGGCAAGGTGTCAGTCAAGAAGGGCGCCCTTCTAGACTGACACCATCCACCCTTGCTTAAAATTAACATACAATATTCAGGCATAAAGGAGGCCGTTATCGTCTGAAAGTCAGCAGCATATTACAGGAGTTGTAACTGGAAATTCCGAGCTCATGTTAGATTACGCTTGCCCATTTGAACACGGAAGTCACATTGGATCCAGAGTTATTGAAATGATTGGCAGTCACTCTGCATCATGAAAAATGAGTGAGCACGCCCCTGAGACCCATTCTAACGAGCAGATTGGTCAGTGTTATTTAGACATTTCTTACAGACGCTGACTTGTAACTCAGATGGCAACTCTAGATGAACGCAAACCACTTAAAGACTTATTACACATCCTGCTACGTTGTTGTGGGTCAGAGCCAAATAAGGCACCCAAAGGGGAGTCTTGGCCTCGAGTCATACTTTATATCAAGCACATAAGGTAGATGAACACTTACCTCAGCGTGGGGAGGCTGGTGCTCCTAACAAGATTGCTGTTTTTATTTATTCTGGGAATCACTTTTGTATTTATAAACAGAGAAGCTCAGCACAGTTCCCTGGAGGAACCAGTATCCGTGTGTGTGTGTGTGTGTGTGTGTCCTTGCACGCGTTCATTTGCATACATAAATGACATTTCTGTATGTCAGTGTTTCATTTAGAACCTCTCAATGGGATCGATCGTAAATATACCTTACCCAGTTGCTGGGGAGTGTCCTTGTCTCATCTTTTGCAGAGTGCAAGGAGATTCCTGTTAGGTGACAGAGGCTGGCGTCTGTGTGGACCACAGATGGTATTCCTGAGCTATAACTGGATCCGGTGCATGTATTCAAGAACAACTGTGGAAGTCAGGCTAGCTCCACAGGCAAACTTATGTGCATGTCATTGTTGTGTCTTTTACAGCTCCAAAGAATGTTGGTTTGGAAGCTGGAGAAACAGGTCCAAGGGTGTTTTCTAGCTTCTTGGTGAAAGGGGATCTCACTTTCAGAGGAACTTTCAAGAAGGAAGACTTCTGTAAAGGGTTGATGAGTTTGGAACAAGAACTAAACTCCAAATTTGCCATTTTAGGTTTTGTTGGAGATCTTCTGGGTCCACAGACGTCTTATCTTGCCCTGTGTTTTTGTCTTTAAGCAGAGGCCACTTAAGGATAAAATTATACCCATATCATTTTCAAGTGATTACAATGCATGAGCCCAGTGAGGTGACACACTTATCCCCACAAAGGTTCAGCACCTGGAATGTCCCAGAGCAAATGGGGACTCACTTTTCTTTTTCTTTTTCCACTTACCTTGTTCATTTCATCTTAGATTTTATTTACCATACATAGCATGAGCAAGAGGCCATGCCAGTTGAAAACAGTGGTACCGATTCACTTCATGTTTGCAAACAGATACCATATGCACTATTTAAGACGATGACATGTTAAATTATATAGGTAATGTGCTAACTTATGTCATATTTCTGTCTTGACATGATATTTTAGAAGGTAATGTTTACTTAGAAGAGTCTCCCCATTTGCATGGAACTATCCAGGTTTATTACACATTTCAGGGATAATATAGTGATCAGAATAAAATACCTTTCAAAACCTTCTTTCCTACTCCCCATTTTACCATATCCGTTAAAACTCAGTTTTACTTTGTTGTGTTCAGCTGTTTGAAATGTAGGACAAATTATAAATAAGAATTCACTCCATTATCTCCGTGCAACCTATTTTGGCAGTAGAATAAAGCATATTATGTAATCCATTTTATTTTTACTTGTTAGTCATGATCTCGATGACATCCCAAAGAGCAGCAACATGGAGTCATGCCGGGGAAATGAGGGTGTTCGACTTTGGTGCCCGTCACCGTGTGGGTTACTCCCTGGGATGACGCGGGCAGAGGTAGTTGGCAAAAGGGGCTCCTTTCTGCCTTGTCCTTTTTGTAGTTCAGATGAAGCGGATGACCTTCCCAGAGAGAGGAAGTGAGTGCTTCAGCCATGTCATGACTGGCATATAAAAATAAATGTGATCTTTGCCACTAACCATACACTTCCCATAAATAGCCCAGGGCGAGCATCTGGGGCTACGAGCTGGCCAGAGAGGCCTTCACAGGTTTCCATTCATAAATCCTGCCTGGAAGTGCATTCAGTCAAAGAACCGTTCAGCCTAACTCATTGCTCCTTGGTAGGAATTATCTCTAAGGATGCAAAATTGGGGATATGAAAGTGAGTTTTATCATTTTATTCTGATTTGGTGCTGAATCTGAGAGCTAGCAGCAATAATAAGCAGCAGTTTTTATCTTCAAATCAATTCACGACTTCAGTTAACTTGCACAAAGGCTATCGAGGAGACAGGTACGGTTGGCGTTATCTCCATCTGAAAGTTTTATCGCTAAGGTGACAATTAAGTTTTCAAACCAGGAATAGATAGATTTGGGTATGGCAGCATGGTGGTTAAGGCGGCTGGATCCCACATGGTTAACAGCGTGTGGTTTAAGTCGCAGACCCAGGGGTCTGAGAAATTGGCAGTGTGTGTGTGCGCGTGTGTACCTAGAATCCTGAAAAGAGGGAGAGATGGGTGAAAAAGAACGGTGGTATGACCATCCCTCATGGGGGATGCTTTCTCATTTTCTCTCTGTCTTTCTCTGGTCAGTGCATGTGCTCTCAGTAAATTAGAAACAAAAATAAAATAAAGTAGAATTTGGGAATGATTATGCTAAACTCTGAGTGTCTACTAGTTTGCATGGTTATGATTTACGCCTATCCAAGTACACAGACACTAACTGGAAATATATCCATATCTTTCATTGAATTTTTAGAATTATATTTATTTATTTATTATTTATCTATTTACTTGTTGGGGTTTACAAGCCACCAGGTCCAGGTCTTGAACCCTGGTCAGCCATGTGGGAATCCAGTACTTTCACTACCACACCACTTGCTGGCCCCCAAATTTTTATCATTTTAAAACAGAGCAAAGTATGACGATCTTTTAAATTAGATTTTAAAATCTTTAAATGTCATCAGTCACTGAAGAGGGCATCACTTTGTTCTTCATCTGGTGAAGTCTGCTGATTCAATCTGTCATCGTCCTTAGTGTTGATGTTGATTCATTTACATAATCCCTTGAGTGATGATCAAACATTTCCTATATGTAAAACATTGAATGGGATCATGTTATCATAGCCACTATCCTTCTGCTTTCTGATAGAACAAAAACACCAGAAAGGCTCTCTGACCAGGGACCAAACTCTGACGTTGCCTAGAATGTCCTAAGTCACTGAGTTTGAGTATTTTGCCATGTCTATGAGCATAAGTGCAATACACAGAATCTTATTTTAACGAACGTGATTGTTTACTTGCAATCAATTTCTTTTTTTTTTTTCTGTTTGCTCCTTAACCTATGGTTAAAAGTAACTTGAAAAAAATTTTTTAGAATTTTAAATTTTATTATTAGTATTAGTATTATTTGACCTGCTATATAGCACATGCACTCACCCGAGAGAGAGAGAGAGAGAGAGAGAATGTAAGAAAGCAAGTTGCCTGGTCTGGGACTTGAACCACAGTCAGTCATGTGTGAGTCGAGTGCCTCAATCACCACACCACTGCTGGCCCCAGTAACTTGAAAATTTTAATATGCAATCCAAGTAAAGCAATAGCAGGCATATGTACAGAATTTAACATTTATCATCATTAATAAAGACCCTAGCAACAAAATCTATTGGAGGATTAATAGTAGTCATACCATTAGGAAGTATAATTCATTCGAAGTGCCTACATTGTGATGTCAAGTGTCTGGATTTCATAGATAGAATAACAAAGTTATTATAGATATAGCTATATGTATATCTAGAGAGAGACTTCAAAAAGTTTGCCAAAAAAATGGAATTAAAGTACAAGTTTATTCTGATACAAAAAATTGAAACCTGTGCATAGTTTTTTCATAATATACATTTTCCATGAACTTTTTGAGGCCCCTTTCATACGAATTTAAATGCTTAAATCTCCAAAATTAAGATGAATGTTTTCTAGCCTTTTTCTTCTTTTAAGAGCTTTGTGTTGCTCCTTATGAAATGTGTCTTAGGAAAACAATCTGGAGGAAATCATTTAAAAGAAGTGTCAAATGTTAACAAGATAGGAAGAATGGGAAAAGAGAATGAGGAGGATTAGGTTCAAACAGCCAGCTTGGGACAGTAAATTCAGCTAGGACGGTTTTTCTTGAATTTGAAAATGTGTCCCTAAAAAGCATGTGAACATCCAGGGTGTCGGCTTTCAAGTAGGGAGGCAAGGAATTCTGCTTGGCAGTTAACCATGTCCTGTAGCTTTTGACCTGAGCACTAGTGCCCAGGTATATTTTGAGAAGTGCATTTATCCACTGGCTTAATTTCCTTAATTTGTTTTTGTAAAATTAGGCAATAAGGCAAAAAGGTATTAGGGGATTACACCAGCCAACTGTAAATCACCTTTTGCATCATTTTCTTGAAGGATTGCCAATATTCTATGACATAAATTACCTGAGAAAAAGCAAATAAGCCCAGACAAACTGAAAAAGAAAGCATTTAGGGATTGGAGTGGAGCATTACTGCATTCCTTCGTAAGAAGCCACATACTTTCCTATGGAAGGAAGATTTGATCTCTTTGATTCCGTGGATAATCATTTAATTGTGAAAATGGATGTCAGTTCTTGGTCTCTAAGTCCACGAAACTAGTTCAATTTTCTGTTGTTGCTGTTTTGAAAAAAGGCCTCACGTAATCACTGCATTTCTGGTTTGCAGATTTTGAACTAGTTGTAGGCTTTTTTGTTTTCAAACAACTTCTTAAGAATCTGTGATCGAGTTGCAGAATTCGTGTTTATTTATAGGTCAGGGGCTAAGACCGCTCACGTAGCTGGTAATTGTGGCAGGATGTGACTTTTGAAAGCTCTGAACACACACACCTATGTGCAGCTGTATGCCTGCTCGTTTACTATTTAACTCAATGGAAAAAACAGCCTTTTCTTTGAGCTTTCAGAAATGTTCCCCCGTGTACAGCGCTCTTCAAAGTAATGCATGAGCTTCCGTTCTTGCTTTTTGTTCTGGAACAATCTCTAGAAGCTATTCCAAACATGGCATTGCTCAAGGAACATGTCTTGAATGTGCAAAATGATTCTCCAATATGTAAGAGTGGCAGACCACCTTTCTCTTGCCTCACCACTCCACCCCAAATATGCAATAAACACTCGAGGCAGAGTGGGAGGTCTTCAGTTGTCACTGAGCCGTGCTGTAAAGATGACCCTGCTCCTCATGGTTAACCACGACACTGAGAACAGACACCGTATAAATAAACCCTTGTTCTAGATGAAGCACAGGGACACATGAGTTTCATTTCTTCTGTTAGTTCCATCTCTGGTTAGAAAGCGTAATCTGTTTTTAATATGCTGAATACAAAAAAAGAAAATTCATGGGAAAATTTTTTAAAGAAATATTTTAATTTTATATTTCAAAATTTTATAATAGCGACTTGTTTGTAAACACAGGCCTTAGCACATAGATGAGAATCAGTGCTTTTTGGAGAGCCTCTTCTTTGTCCTGGGCGTTTAATCACCTTGGGCTCTTATCCAAACGATAAAGACCTAATAGGTCTTTAAAAATGTAAATAATGTATAGTTTAAAGAAGGATTAAAGAAAATCTTTTTTTTTTTTTTTTTTTAAAGAAGAAACATGTCAGATAGGTTCTAGGTGTGTAACAAAGCTAAGCTTAAAGGTCTTTTTAAAATTCTAATTAGAAACTTCATTAAAGTCATTCTCCCAGCAAGGCTTAGCACAGAAGGTCCACTTTCTGACCAGGTTGGTTTTCTTTTCTGGAGGTTCTGAGCAAAATTATCTTTTTTTTTTTTTTTTTTTTTGAGAGGTTTTTGCTACAGGGCACGTGTGCTCGCCAGACAGATGGAGAGAGACAAGAGAGTCAGAAAGCGAGAAATCACCCCCCAGGGGGGATGACCATGCCCAAATCCCTTCTCCTCTGTTCTCCTCTCGGGATCTTGGGCACGCATGCACACGCGCCCGGCATGAGTTTTAAGCCACCCGGTCCAGGACGTGAACCGCGGTCGACTACGTGGGAGTCCAGCGGCATAGCCATTATGCTAACTGCTGGTCCTCTGAGCAAAATTATCTTAACCAAGCCACTGAATAACAAGGCTTTCAAAAAAGAGCTGAGGCACATTGCACTCAGCTGAGGGAATAACCACAGTGAACAGCATGGCTGGTAAAATGTGTGGTCCTGGACGCTGTCCCTCATGTCTACAGAGTGGAAGAAGAATAAATCCCCTGCCACTGTGACATGGATTAGGGAGAGGGTCTCTGTGTTTCAGAGCTGGGGGGGGAGGGGTGAATTCTGTGGCTGCTTTTTTATCTGCACCAAGCATGTGATAGGTCTGAACTCTTCATGTCAGCCTTCGCCCAAACCATTTCCACCACCCTTGCAAGTCTTCCCTTCCCACAAACCCAGCCTCAAGGACGAGAGCTTTCTCAAAGGATTCCACATACATTTAGGCCTTCTCCAACCACCTGCCTTATGAGGTTCATCCCTTTCAAAACTGAGGATTTAAGTACGATGACTCAGATTCGCCAGAATGTACAACCAGCAGATCCCCTTTTGCGGTAAAGGGCATTACATAAAGGGCCATACTCATTTTTTTTCCCTCAGGTCAGAAACAGAGGGAGGGTTCAATAGAGACCTTCTTGTGTCCATTTCTGTTTTTGTTCTAAGTTCGTTTAATGGTGATGATGGAGGAAGAAGGGAGTAAAGAAGGCATAAAGAAAGCATGTTTTTCCACTGCTTGCTAAATTAATTCTTCTTAGACTACCCTGACTCTGGTCCTCACTTACATCCTCAAGAGCTGTATTGAGCTAGCTAGAAAAGCATCCTCAGAATGTGTGAATGTCCTTACACGTCCTACCACGTGGTTTCACATCAATAGTATATTCTGACAGAAAAGCATTACTTAATCATAAGCCCATGTTATTTGATAAGTTAAGCAAAGTAGTCTATAGAAGTCGATCTTACTTTAGTCAACTCTGTGCATGTAATGGAACAAACTTGTGACTCATGTCTGTTATATAGTTTGCTACGATTTGGGTTTTCTGAAACACTTGTTCCCTACAGTCTTGAATATGAAATTCTGTATAAATAATACAACTATGCATTTTTTTTTTTTTTTGCTGAAAAACAAATGTGGGAAATAACAATAAATTCTTTGTAAGCACAGTGTGTCGGATTGCATTTGTTTGGCTTTGTGTTCATTCAGGAGATAGCCTTCAGCAAACGCATTTTTCTAAATGGACAGTAAAATATGTGTAACACGAATAAACGTGGTATGAACGTTTACCCTTTGTATAAAAACCAGCAGGCAGAAGGGAAGAGTATGCTTGCCCCGATGAAGCACCCTCAGTCTATTACTATTTACAATACGAGTTAAATAAAAAAGAAAATTCTTGAGCTACTTCCATACCATATCTTCTAAGAAAATACTTACATAACTCAGATGATCAAACTTCTCGCACCTTCCTGTTTTAAGAGTACGTGTGGTCCACGGGCTTCTGTGCGATTCAGCCTGTGTCGGAATCCTGGTGGATGTGCGTGCCTTTACAGTCTCCCTGTCCCAAATAACCCAAGCAAAGGAGATCCAATTTCAGTTCTTAAGCTCAGTGGCGATTGCTAAGTCTTTAAATCATGTTGACTCTTATTTGAGTTTGCTATCTTGGTTACCAGGAACAGAAAACGCTCCTCTTGAGGAAGCAAGAAAAGGTTTGGAGGAGGAGCCTTGGGGAGTTGGCAGGATGCACAGAGCTGACCACTCAGGAAGTGTAGGGAGCGGTGCAGCACTGGAGATTCCAGTCAGGAACCCCTGCCGCGAGTGGCTCTCAGGGCACTCAGACCAGCTGAGCCAACTTCAGGTGTCTCTCTGGCCCAGCTGGCTGTGTTTCTCAATTCAAATTTCTTGGAAAGAAAAATCTCAGGCCACATGGCCTCTTCTGGAGACGAGGTATGAGTGCCTGTGAGTTGAGCCCTTTCCAGAGCCAGATGGAGGGCAGAGGTTAGTTTCCTTTAGGAAGGGATGATGGGCGAACAACAGCAGCTGTCCCCTTCTCACTCCTTGGCTCTCTGGCAAACAGTGGCATGTGATGCCTGATCCTGGGGAGTATGAGGACAGGACCATGGGAACCTGAGGGTTTGGGCCAAGGTGCACTCTGTGAAGAGTTGCCCACGCCAAGTGTCCAGTCAGTTTGGGGTCCTTGTTGGAGCCTTTCAAAACTGAGGATTTAAGTACGATGACTCAGATTCGCCAGAATGTACAACCAGCAGATCCCCTTTTGCGGTAAAGGGCATTACATAAAGGGCCATACTCATTTTTTTTTCCCTCAGGTCAGAAACAGAGGGAGGGTGACCTTCTTGTGTCCATTTCTGTTTTTGTTCTAAGTTCGTTTAATGGTGATGATGGAGGAAGAAGGGAGTAAAGAAGGCATAAAGAAAGCATGTTTTTCCACTGCTTGCTAAATTAATTCTTCTTAGACTACCCTGACTCTGGTCCTCACTTACATCCTCAAGAGCTGTATTGAGCTAGCTAGAAAAGCATCCTCAGAATGTGTGAATGTCCTTACACGTCCTACCACGTGGTTTCACATCAATAGTATATTCTGACAGAAAAGCATTACTTAATCATAAGCCCATGTTATTTGATAAGTTAAGCAAAGTAGTCTATAGAAGTCGATCTTACTTTAGTCAACTCTGTGCATGTAATGGAACAAACTTGTGACTCATGTCTGTTATATAGTTTGCTACGATTTGGGTTTTCTGAAACACTTGTTCCCTACAGTCTTAAATATGAAATTCTGTATAAATAATACAACTATGCATTTTTTTTTTTTTGCTGAAAAACAAATGTGGGAAATAACAATAAATTCTTTGTAAGCACAGTGTGTCGGATTGCATTTGTTTGGCTTTGTGTTCATTCAGGAGATAGCCTTCAGCAAACGCATTTTTCTAAATGGACAGTAAAATATGTGTAACACGAATAAACGTGGTATGAACGTTTACCCTTTGTATAAAAACCAGCAGGCAGAAGGGAAGAGTATGCTTGCCCCGATGAAGCACCCTCAGTCTATTACTATTTACAATACGAGTTAAATAAAAAAGAAAATTCTTGAGCTACTTCCATACCATATCTTCTAAGAAAATACTTACATAACTCAGATGATCAAACTTCTCGCACCTTCCTGTTTTAAGAGTACGTGTGGTCCACGGGCTTCTGTGCGATTCAGCCTGTGTCGGAATCCTGGTGGATGTGCGTGCCTTTACAGTCTCCCTGTCCCAAATAACCCAAGCAAAGGAGATCCAATTTCAGTTCTTAAGCTCAGTGGCGATTGCTAAGTCTTTAAATCATGTTGACTCTTATTTGAGTTTGCTATCTTGGTTACCAGGAACAGAAAACGCTCCTCTTGAGGAAGCAAGAAAAGGTTTGGAGGAGGAGCCTTGGGGAGTTGGCAGGATGCACAGAGCTGACCACTCAGGAAGTGTAGGGAGCGGTGCAGCACTGGAGATTCCAGTCAGGAACCCCTGCCGCGAGTGGCTCTCAGGGCACTCAGACCAGCTGAGCCAACTTCAGGTGTCTCTCTGGCCCAGCTGGCTGTGTTTCTCAATTCAAATTTCTTGGAAAGAAAAATCTCAGGCCACATGGCCTCTTCTGGAGACGAGGTATGAGTGCCTGTGAGTTGAGCCCTTTCCAGAGCCAGATGGAGGGCAGAGGTTAGTTTCCTTTAGGAAGGGATGATGGGCGAACAACAGCAGCTGTCCCCTTCTCACTCCTTGGCTCTCTGGCAAACAGTGGCATGTGATGCCTGATCCTGGGGAGTATGAGGACAGGACCATGGGAACCTGAGGGTTTGGGCCAAGGTGCACTCTGTGAAGAGTTGCCCACGCCAAGTGTCCAGTCAGTTTGGGGTCCTTGTTGGAGCTCTGGAGCATCTGGTTACAGAAGGAGGATGGGAAAATACTACAGTCCAAACAGTATCACCCACAGCCGGGCCCCTGATTAGCTAGCACACATGTTCCTTACCAAATATGCTTTTCTTAACAGTAACGTAACTATTATTTGCACAATCTAAGTGCTCTTAGTTCACTTCCCCAAAATAACCCAAAGTGCTCACTTAGAACTGCAAACAGCTCCCAGGACTCCAGATCTCCATGTGATGTGAATTCTCATTTGAGTCAAGATGTGGCTAAATAAGACATTCAACCACTTCCCAACTTGCTGGACAATTTCAGAAGAACTAGATGGTTGAGAGGCAAAACTAGATGGTTGAGAGTGGGAACTCAAAATAGCATGCCACTTCGTGGTCCCCTCCTGCACATCAGGAAGACAAGGCCTCCACAGAGCTCCTCAGCTTTGTGCTCTAGGGGGATCTCTGTCTTTCTTGCTTCCTTGTCGGGAGACCACTCCTAAGAAGTCCACTCCATTGTGTCTGCCAAGTAGCTCCTGGGCCTTTGCCAGACACTTGCCTGTTTGCCTTCAGATTCATTTTCCCATCCTCTCCCTCATCTGCTCTGTATTGGAGCTGATTCTAGGCTCCCTTGCCATCTGGCTTTTTGTTAGGTCTTGCCAAAAAGGGAGAAATGGTGGAGACTGGCTTGAGGGGAGTTGCAAGGCAGAAGGTAGGTATTTTACCTCTTCCTTCCCCACTCTTTCAGGATTTTCCTGGGATTCTCAACCTTGGTTGCTGCTACAGTCACTGTATAACCCTGAGGGAAGACAAGATAAGAATAAAGCCAGTGAGAGTCAAACCATGGAATGGTGGTGAAAATGTGATGCTCTGTAAGGCTGCCCTATCTGGAGGTTCTGGGTTCATGTTTGGAGACCTCCTTGAATATGCTGGGCGTGTGCATGTCTATGATCAGAAGCTGGCTGAAGCTGGGGGTAGATCATGGCATCAAAACCCTGTTGGGGGTGATTGCTCTCTCCCTTGTTTATGGGGATATAAATAAACAAACTTACAAAGAAAGATAAAGTAAGTCCAGTGTTATGGAACAGGAACAGAGTAAAGCACAAAGGAAGCCTTGATCCATCTGGGCCTGATGCCTACACACCTTTGGACTTTTCCTCATGTGAAATGCATTCCCTTTATGTTATGATTCAGTTTCAGTAGTATTTACTGCTTGTGATCAGAAGGATCTTAACAAATCCATAAGGTTTGCTAGCCTCCAGCCTCTTTCTCTGCATACCTGGTGTATCAGTTTGGGATCTGTAAGCCAATCAGTGTATACTAGTGGATCCCCTTCTGTCCCAATTAGTTTGAATGGATTCTGTTGTCTCCAATTGATCCCAGACTGATACACCAGGTAATAATAGGATTTGCTCAGCCCCTAATCACCGTGGCTCAGCCAGTCCCACATCTGAGCATCTGCATACTATATATTTGCAATCCTTTTTTTCTTTTTCTTTCCTTTTTTTTTTTTTTTGTTATAGGGTACATACATTCACCAGAAAGAGAGAGACAGAGAAAAAGAAGATGCAAAATCACCCCCTAAGAGGGATAGCCGAGCCACAGTCTCTTCTCCACTCTCCTCTCTGATTCTGGGCACACATACTCACATGCCTGGTGTGATTCTCAAGTGGTCGGGTCCAGGACTTGAACTATAAAGCTGACCATGTGGGATCCAGTGCCTTAAACTCCACATCACCTGCTGGCCCTGCTACATTTCATTTTTAAGTACAGATTTTCATTCAGACTCGATGTTGCCCAAGGATCCTCCTATAATACCCGAACCGCTTTTTCTCTTGTTCTCTGCTGTAGGTATTTTCAATCTCTGACCTGGCTCTCCCTTCGTTGCCTCAAATCTCTGATTCTACTCCCCGCCTCTTCAAGAACCACACTCTCCATGTACTGGTCTAAACTACTTCTACTGTACTGGTCTAAACTACTTCTACTCAATAGGATTCCTCCTACGAGCATTTAAAAATGTACGACTCGTCTCTCTCATCTTCTAAAATGAGAAAGCCACCCTGTTCCCTACTATGTCTAGTGACCACCCCCTCTCTCTCCTCTCCTTCACAGCCAGGCGTTTTGAAAGAGCAGCGCTCACTGCCTTTGTTTTCTTACCTCCCACTCCCTCCTTCAGCCACTGCATTCTGGCTTCACTCATCTCACGAGAATGACTCTTGTCAGAGTTCCAACGATATTCTCCTTGACCGACAGACATTGCTCAGGCCCCCTTTTTCCATTTCCTTCTCTTCGTGAGCTCTCCCCTTGGCCTCTATGACTCTGTACTATTATGTTACAATCACCTTGACTGACTTATCTTCCTCTATCCATGATCCAAGTCAGTTTTGTCAAAGGGTGAGCACAGATCATCTGCGTTAGTACAATGGAAGGACTTGGTCAATGACTTCCTGATTCTGCCTCTTCCCTCTGCCTTACTGCTCGTGACAGAGGCATTGCAATGATTGTTCAAAAAGCACAGCCTTGGGTCAACTTCAGTTCTTTAGTGAGTCTGTAAGCCACCCAGTGCATACTAGTGGATTCCCTTCTAGCTCTAGTTTGAATGGATTCTGTTGTCTGCAATGGATCCCAAGCTGATACACAGGCGAGCAGAGAAAGATGGGGATCAGAAATGCTGGAAATGAGAAACAGTAGGTCTTATTTCCCAAACCAATCTTTGACAAGTAATCTGTTAGCCCTCTGAATTTTTTTTTTCCTTTCATTTTCCATGGCAATATAAGGATCTAGATCTAGGTTTTAGATCAGAGTTTATCAGAAAGTCTGGATCTATTTCAAAGTAAAAATGAAACATTAAAAAGAGAATTATCTAGTATTTTTTCCCCCTTGAAGTTGACTTAAAATGGGTGAAGGGAGACATGCACAACCGTATAGAATAAATGTCAAGTAAAAGAAATCTTAAATAACAAATCCTAAACCATTATGTGGTGTTCCCGTGCAGCTTATATACTGTTCATATTGAGATTCAGCCTTTAGTAATCAAAAATCCATTAAATATAAAGAGTATACAGAATTTTTTAATAAATATTTGACTTTATTTATTTATTTTAATTTGACCAGAGAGGGGGAAAGAGAGAGAGCGAGAGAGAGAGAGAGAAAGAGAAAATGAGAAAGTAAGCTGCACGGTGATTCTGTTGTCTGCAATGGATCCCAAGCTGATACACAGGCGAGCAGAGAAAGATGGGGATCAGAAATGCTGGAAATGAGAAACAGTAGGTCTTATTTCCCAAACCAATCTTTGACAAGTAATCTGTTAGCCCTCTGAATTTTTTTTTTCCTTTCATTTTCCATGGCAATATAAGGATCTAGATCTAGGTTTTAGATCAGAGTTTATCAGAAAGTCTGGATCTATTTCAAAGTAAAAATGAAACATTAAAAAGAGAATTATCTAGTATTTTTTCCCCCTTGAAGTTGACTTAAAATGGGTGAAGGGAGACATGCACAACCGTATAGAATAAATGTCAAGTAAAAGAAATCTTAAATAACAAATCCTAAACCATTATGTGGTGTTCCCGTGCAGCTTATATACTGTTCATATTGAGATTCAGCCTTTAGTAATCAAAAATCCATTAAATATAAAGAGTATACAGAATTTTTTAATAAATATTTGACTTTATTTATTTATTTTAATTTGACCAGAGAGGGGGAAAGAGAGAGAGCGAGAGAGAGAGAGAGAGAAAGAGAAAATGAGAAAGTAAGCTGCCAGGTCTAGGACTCGAACTATGGTCAGCCATGTGGGAATCCAGTGCCCTTAACCATCACGCCACCTGCTGGCCCAAGGGTATACAGAAATTCTAACATTGGATAGAAATTCCAAGAGTCTTTGCTCTAAATATTGACTGTGGTCCTCCACCCCAGTGAGGAGTGACTGGAAGGAAGTCAGGATTTCAGCAACTGTTTGGTTTCCTCTCTCCCTGGATAATGGTGCCTATCCCCATAATGCACTCCTCTACTTGTGCTGGGGTTCAACAGACCTTAGTGGGACTGACCTACCAGGCCATACACGGGCATGTGACCCCGGGTAGGCCTGCGAGCCCAGAGCTCCTATCAAGTATGTACTTTCCATGATTTGCCACACAGATCTTCATGCAATTTCACGGGCTACTCTGTAGCCTTCCAGCAATTTTTCTTTTTTCTTTTTTTCTCACTCACTTTCATAAGTTAGCAAGAAGGTTTTCATTTCCTATAACTAAAGAACATTGACTGGGCGGTCAGTCTTGTAGTTCAGTAGTTAAACCCTGTGCATTAGGAGGCAGACTCCACATAGCTGACTGCAGTTCAGATCCCAGTCCCGGTGGCTTGAAAAACATAATAGTGGGCCAACAGGTGGCGTGGTGGTCAGGGGTGCTGGACTCCCACATGGCCAACTGCAGTTCGAGTCCTGGACCTGGCAGCTTGCCTTCTCACTTTCTCTCTCTCTCTCTATCCCTCTCTGGTCAAATTAAAATTAATTAACTAATTAATTAATTTTTTAAAAAAGAAAAGCATAATAGGCCCATGTGTATGCATGTTCAAAATCCTTATGGGATGGAGAAATAGAAGAAAAAGGACCTTTCTCCATCAGAGGGTGCTTATTCTCTTTCTCTCCTCACTCCTCCTAACTCAGGAGAGCACATATGACTTCAAATAATAATTTATTTTAAAAGAATTATTTACTTAAAAGGGATTATTTATTTATTTAATTTTATTTGTTATTATTATTTTTTACTTTGACCAGAGAGAGAGAAAGGAAAAGTGAGAAAGCAAACCACTAGACTTGAACCTGGACTTGAACCACAGTTGCCCATGTGGGAGTTCAGTGACTTAACCACCATGCCACGTGCCAGCCCCAATAATTCATTTCTTAAAGTAATATTGTTGGTACCAGTCCTGCAGTATGATGGTGACCACTGTGTAGAGGGAGATGGATCCCACGTGACTGACTGCAGTTCCAATCCTTGCCCTAGTGGCCTGAAAAACATGTCAGGTACATGTGTGCACATGCCCAAGATCCAAATAGGATGGGAAAAATTGGAGGAAAAGGGATTTCAATGTGATCAGACCCCAGAGAGAGGCTCTCTCTCTCTCTCTCTCACACATACATGCACATGCACTCTAAGGCAGAATGTATATATATATATATATATATATATATATATATATTTCACATTCTGAGGACATCCAAGGCAGAATGTATATATATATATATTTCACATGCTGAGGACTTCCAGTTTTCAGTTTGACATGTAAAGAGCTTGGAAGTTGCCACTCCATAATAATAAGTAAAAAGGTGAACTGAAAAATTAACTTTTTTTATAAAATCTTCCAGAGAAATAAGGTCACAGAACAAATTGCTTACTCCAAAATTAGAGAGACAGACAGTTGGATACAGAGAATTACAACTTATAAGAGAAGAAACCCACAAGTATAAATCTGCAGAACTAGGGACCAGCAGTTAGCGTAATGGCTATGCCGCTGGACTCCCATGTAGTCGACTGTGGTTCAAGTCCTGGACCTGGTGGCTTAAATTCATGCCAGGCGTGTGTGCGTGCGTGACCAAGATCCCACGAGGAGAATGAAGGAGAAGGGATTGTGGAATGGCCATTCCCCCAGGGGGTGATTTCTCTCTCTCTCTCTCTGTCTTTCTGGCTAGTACACGTGCCCTATAGCAAAACAAACTTCTCAAAAAAAATTTAAATAAAAAAATAATAAATCTGTAGGAACTAATACCAAGTTCTTTTTTACCAAGTACATTATGTCTAGCTT